AATATAGTGGTCCTCATTTGAACTCAACTATATATATATATATATATATATATATATATATATATATATATATATATATATATATATTAAAAAAAATCCAAAACGACGTAATTTTAACTTTTTATGCAAATAGTTAATTTACATTGAAAATTTATTTTAAAAAGCTCTAAAACGACGTACAGAAAAACTTTTATTTTTTGTTATGCAAAAAGTCTTATGTTTTATTATAGAAAATTTGTGTGGTCACCTCTTATAGTCATATTTTGTTACTAACATACTTAATAGTTAACTCAATTTCTCTTTAAAAAGTGCAATTAAATCCAATATCTCACCTCTTGAGTTGATTGCTCAAAGCTCTATATATGATTTTACAATAAACATAACTATTTTGACTTTTAACTTTTATTGGTAGGAATTGATCCGGAGGTAGAGACTAGAGATCTATATATAGCTACACTATGAAATAATATAATAGAGTATGTAGTGCCACATTAGATCCACTTTCACCCGTCATCTTATCATTGGTCAAAATTTCTAAATAAATAACATGGCACTTCTTTGCCAGTGGACCATACGTCTAGTTATTGTACTAATCATATATTGGACTGACGAATCAATAACTAGATGTATGGTCCACCACTAGCAAAGAAGTGCCATGTTATTTATTTTAGGGAAAAGGGTCAAATAGGCCCTCGAATTTTAGTTTAAAAGTCAATTAGATCCCTAAACTTTTTAAATGTGCAATTACACCTATCAGTAATTTATTTAGGTGCAATGAAGTCTAAAAATAAATTAATGACCTGCTATCACAGGTCATTAGGGTTCAGGCCACCTTCTGACAAAAAAAAAAAAAAAAAAGTGATCGACGAAATTTCCGGCAAAAAAAAAAAAAAAGTGACCGGCGGTCACTTTTTTGCTACAAATTTCACCGGTCACTTTTTTTTTTTTTTTTTTTTTTTTTTTTTTTTTTTGCCGGAAATTTCGCCGAAAGGTGGCCTGAACCCTAATGACCTGTGATAGCAGGTCATTAACTTGTTTTTGGGCTTCATTGCACCTAAATGAATTGTTGATGGGTGTAGTTGCACCTTTAAAAAGTTTAGGGGCCTAATTGACTTTTAAGCTAAAGTTCGATGGCCTATTTGACCATTTTCCCTTTATTTTACAAATTTTGACTAATGACGGGTGAAAGTGGACCTAACGTGGCACTTCTCCATTAGTCCCAATGCAAGACAATCATTATTGTATGGACGATGATCCACACAAGTTGTATATACAATAATTTGCCCAATGCAAGAGGGGTAGTTTGTTAATATGCTCACGGATTATTGGGCCCGCAAAATTTTCAAAATGTAACCCGGACAAAAACATGTCGGGCCGACCCAGTCTAGTTTTTACTTGGCCTATGACGGGCCAACCCATATGAACTTGGCAAATTATATCGTACACCGCGGTGCATAATTGATTATGCATCGAGCATCAAAACGACGTCGTTTTATTTAATGAAAATAAACGGAATCTGTTTTGCGCTGTTCTGCAAAAAATAACTCCGTTCTTCAGTTTCATTTTGTATACACTGCAGTTTCAATTCAACAAAACTATAGTTTCATTTCGATATAACTACAGTTTCATTCAATATTTATACACTCAAATATGTGAAAATGTTATTTAATTTTATTTTATATACACTATAGTTTCATTAAAACACAACTACATGATCATTTCGATATAATTACAGCTTCATTGTACAATATACACTCAAATATGTGAAATGCTATTCAGTTTCATTTTATATATACTGCAGTTTCATTTCACCACAACTACAGTATCATTTTGATATATCTGCAGTTTCATTTGATAATATAAAAATAATACGTGACGCAGTGTCACTTTAGATACACTGTAGTGTCACTCCGTTAACACTAACAGCGCCGTTTTGATGCGCGGTGCATAATCGATTATGCACCGCGGTCCACGATATTACGACTGCATGAACTTAGTTGGTCTGTTTTGACCAATTGTTATATTGTGCACCAGGGGATAATGCATTGTGCACCTAAAAATCTCCTGTTTTGTATGTACATAATTGTATAACATAAGACACATAAACTCCTAACATAATACACATAAACTATTAACATAAAACACATGAACTCTTAATATAATACACAGAAATTCTTAACGTAATGCACATACTCTTAATATAACACACATAAACTCTCAACATAATACATATAAACACTTAAGGTGCACAATGCATTGTGCATCCTGGTGCATGATATAATTTGCCTGTTTTGACACCTCTAATAGTCCATTTAGCTGTGGGTCAACCCTAGTGCAGATTTAGCTCACATGGTCAGCTTACCCAACTACTTGGTTAATGGTTAGGACGACTCTAATTAATGAATTGGCAGCAGTTATACCATGAACTCGGATTCACCTTGCGAGGTAGATTCGGATTTAAAATACACAATTTACATATTGAATGTTTACAATTTTAATTGTGAATATTTAGTATGTAAATTGTAAACATTTAATATATAAATTGTGAACATTTAGTATGTAAATTGTGTATTTTTGATAAGATGAGCCCGAGTCTACGAAATAATTTGCACGAATTGGGCTCTTGGCCTTCTCTACATGGACCTAGTGTTCATTTGAGCAATCATTATTGTGTGGACCATATTTTGTATACTGTAAAATAATGTACATTCAGTACAAAAATAATGTACATTGTATTCAGGGAATGTACATTATTCAGATTCTATATCTATAGTTGACATATTATGTACCTGCAGTTGATAATTTATGTACCTGTTACTATTATATTATGTGTCAACAATTATCAAGTTATTTATTTACATGTATAGAAAACTTTAATTATAGGTACAGAATGTGTTAACTGGATGTACAAAATTTTTGTATCACTGTTCATGATACAATATATAAACCCTAGTACATGGTATAACAATTGGACTACCTTTTTGAAAAAAAAAAAAAAAAAAAAAACAATTGGACTACCTTATAAGCCCATCTGAAATTAAATCTCGCAAAATATTACTCCGTATTCTTCACCAATGTTAATTATACATCTTTGACGTTAATGTGGTCCCTAAAAATTGGTAGTATTTATAATTGTTGGTCAAATAGTTCTGAAACAAATTAAATGGGATCACGAGAGTCTGCCTTTATGGTTGGCTATGAATGAGCAAGCAAGCAAGTCAATAATCGAGAAGACGACAATAGAAAAATGCAGAAAGAGAACACAAGAGCTTTAGAGGATGGGGTCTTGAGAATCTTTGACAATAAGACTAGAGAATTGAAGGTAGTTGAGCATTATTAATACTAATTGAAGCCTTTAAGAATAGTAAAAAAGGCATTGCATGCATATGGCTATGATGTTGCATTGCATTGATATGTCTCTGAAACAAATCAACCAACCCCTCCAAATACATCAAAACAAAATGCCAACTTTGATCCGGGTCCCATTACCATGTTTTATTGCCTTCCAAAGGAGTGTGTCTCACTTATTTGGATTTTATTTGACAAATATTTGAACTTTTTTTTTAATTTTTTTTTGACGAAGAAAACTCGAAATTATTATTTAAGGTTGTGCATTGGGTAAATCATAACTTTGTGGCTCAGCCGATAAAAGATCACAAAAAGATAAACTAGTCTAGTTTGTTCATGACTAACAAGCTCAAATAAAAGTCAATAGGCCTTTCCTATTGGGACTCAAACTTGAACCTTAATGGGGTGTTTGGTAAGATGGAATTGTAATTCCATTCCTACCAAACTCCATAGAATTGCAATTCCATGCATTGTTTGGTTGGAGTGAATTGCTCCATGGTTTGAGTGACCCTTCGAATTGCAATTCCACACTTTGTGAAAGAATTGTAATTTCATGATAAATTACAATTTTATCATTCTTATGATTATTATATTATTATTACACAATGACATTTTAGTCTTTATTCATTTCTTCTTTTTCAATTTTCAATCATTCAATTCATTCTCACCAAATAATGTAATTTAAATTCCACTTTATTCTTTTCTCATGAAATTACAATTCCAACCAAACGCCTTATAAAATTATCAAGCTAATTACCTGTAGCCAAGGTTGTTCTTCAGTAATGAGACTGAAAAAGAAATAAATAGAAACATTAATTTCTCTTTATTTTAAATTAATTAGTGTATGTCATGTCTGCCACAAGGTGGACCCCGATCTAAAGATACACAATTATATACTAAATGTTTATAATTTATCTTTTTAAAACTCACAATTTGTGATGACAATGAATTGTGTTCACAAATTTTTAAAAATTAAAAACACAATTTATATTTTAAAAATTCACAATTTCAATACTAAAAATACACAATTTGAGACCAAGATCCACTTTGCAAAGTAAACTCTAATCCATTCACTCCATTGTATAACAATTGTCAACCAATAGTAAAATGTGAGAGTACATCCAATATTAGTCCAAATTAAAATATACATTCCCAGAGAGGTGAGATGATGTGATCAACTCCTCATCACTACTTTCTTTTACCAAATATTTATGGTAGGAAAAGATGAAGGACTTGTTTAGTAAATGGTGAATTTATCAAAATTTTAGCAGATTTATCACTTTGACGTTTTGATCAGATCAAAACATTAAAGAAAAGATTTGATTAGCGGCTTCCCTTATGAACTTAAACGTCTCAACTTAGCGGCTAAAAACTAAAACGCCGCAATTTGCAACGTTTCAACTTAGTGGCTCCCCTTCTTCTTCTTATTATTATTATTATTATTATTATTATTATTATTATTATTATTATAAGTCATTTGTTAACGGCTAATCTAAAAAGTTAATTTTACCAAATATCTTTCTATAAACTATACAATTTACTGGTCAAATCTATTAACACAATCCGCTATCTGCTAATTGCTAACGGCGGATTGTCAAACGAGGCCGAAGATTGTTGAATTCTACTAGAAAGGAATATGGAAATGATGGAGATGAATTGTAGTAATTTATACTTTGGACCACAGATAAATAATCATTTTGGATATACTGAATGTTCATTTTTAAGTACATTACATTATTACCTAAAAATAAACATTCAAAAAAGGAAGCAAGGCTGCAGGCCATCAAAATTACCACCCTCCTTCAAGCACAAGTAAATAGAATTTTACAACAGACATTGTTGACCCTCATAAACGATACACTTTACTCACCACCAACCCAATTGATTCACTTCAACTTTGCTTATTCCATGAATCTTGAAAGCATGCCAATGGTGAGAGATAGAGCAATGTATGTATATACCAGTTGGGCTGCAGAAAGACACCAGAGAGATGGAGGAAATCTTGATATGATACCAAATTTGATCAAAGCTAAGAATCAAGGCTTGAGGGCTTATCATCAATCCATTGATTTTCAGCTGCAATCTTTCCCAACCCACACCCACCTATTCTGCCAAGTGATCCCACACCCGTCGATAGCCCCTTGAAGCTGCTACTGCCTTCACTAGTGTTCCTCGATCTCCTAGCCTTCATTGTCGTCTTCGAGCAGGCATCCTGCTCACTGTCCCCGCCTTTAACCTCGATGGCGCTTAGTTGTGCAATGCTGCTCCGGCAGAAAGGGCACAATGGCACAGCAGCCACGGTTGTTTTAGGGTCCGGCTTGTTATGACAGCACAATGCCAGCACACAATGTGCACACATTTGGTGCCCGCAATCTTGTACTTCAATCGAGCAGAGTTGATCGAAACATATGCAACACACTTCCATATCGCCCGCCTGCAAAGAAATGCAGCTTTATACTCATATGTTTTGCTTGAAAATACAACACTGTTGGATCTGAGCGCTGCACTATGTTTATTTTCCAGGGTTCACAGCACGCTTAACCAAAGAGTTCTTTGGCTATCTGGTTGTCATATCCTACTTAAAACCAATTAGTGATAAGTAGGTGGACATTAACCATTTAACCACATCCCTCCATGGTAAGCCACAGTGCTACGTCTCGAATCGAGCAGGGGTTAAACTCGGCCAACGCCCGACACTTGTATTAGGTAGTAATGTAGCATGACAGACCAATCAGAGATAATGCTCAAGATTGGTTAGTAAACTAATCATCAGATTCATATTCAAATTTCTCTCAATCAGAAATAAAACGAACTGTTTTGAACAGGATTGGTAAATTACCTCGGGAATTTTGTCATCAGACCCCGCTTCAAAATGAGGAGGAGGTAGTGTGTTCGACATCCCCTTTAAAATATTCTTTTCCCTCTCTTTATTCGCCTCCATTAGAGCCTGCTCTAGTAAAGCTTTTGCCTCTTTATTTAACTCGCTTATGAACTTAAGCGGTGAAGGCCATACAAGCGGTTCTGCAGACGAAGGATTTAGCAAAGCTGCACAGGCACCGTGATGATATCTCAACGCAACTGTGTAAGGTATTCTCCTGCAATTATGAACAACAGTTCAGAAAGTTAAAAGGAGTTCCGAGTCGAGAAATATGAGCCAATTACTGAGCTTTGCATCCAATAATTCGGTCAGTGTAAAACATATCAAATTGAAGTAGCAGAAAGTCTGCAGTTATATCTATAATTGAAAATTGAACTTGAAAATCACACATAAATCAGGACCCTGTCACTGTCAAGCTAAGAGCACATGCAAAATATGCAGTAATGTTTCACAAAGATTCCAATTTCCAACACTATTAAAACTGCAAGAGAACGGGGGAAAAGAACAGTACCCAGACACATCTTTTTGAAGTCGATCTGCTCCCCATGCCAATAATTCGCGGATGCAATCAAGAGAACCCCCTCTTGCAGCCAAATGAAGGGGACTGCTACCCGGAAAACTGTAATCTTAAGTTTGTCAATACAAGAATTAAACCGAACCAAATCAGAAAGGAAAATAAAATAATAAAGTTTCAGTAGGACCATTACCCATATCCACTTGTAGATGCACAGACCAGAGCTCCATTATCTAATAACATATGAACACATTCAGGCTGTCTTTGGCGGGATGCCAAGTGCAAAGGAGTTGCTCCTTTGCCATCCCTAACATTCACGAATCGAGCATATCCCCTAGAAATTCGATACACATAACTGGTAAAACACTAAAACACCAACTCAATCTATACGAAAAAAGGAGATATACAAAACAGCCTCGACTCTAACCAGGAAACAGCAACATGGGATGTGCGAGCGGCAGAAAGAATTGCTTTAAGGCAATCAGAATGGCCATAGTAAGCAGCATAGTGTAAGCACGTTCTTCCATGAAGTGAGTCAAACATCAATATCTGATAATATATTGAGATCACCCACGATGTTAATTACTTCCAACTAAATTACTTCTTATTAGTGATTGGAGATGGTAATTGTGGGGAAGAAGGCTTACATTGGCCCCAGCTTCAATGAGTTTTTGCACACAAGATATCTTCCCATACATGGCGGCTAACATCAATGGAGTCTAAACAATTCACAATTGCCAAAAATACAGCATTATCAGCTACCATGAAGAAGTAAACATAAAACAATCAACTCCACCTAAAGAAACTAAAATGTTTCACAATCAAATACAGCATTATGAGCAATCTAGGCTGGTTTAAAGAAGAATTTAAGGAAATAAAATAGAAAAAATTCAAACTTTTTTTTTTTTTTTTTTTTTTTTTTTCTCAGCAAACTGCCTAAGCAAAAATGAAGGCAAAAAAGCTACCTGTTTATGGCGATTCAACAAATCTGGGTTAATAGATCGGTTTAACAGCACAATGACAATCTGAAATGAAATCAATTCAAACCCATCAATCGAAACACGATAAGGAATCAAAATTTAAGCAAAAGATTGAAACTTTTTTCAAGGCGGCAAGGACCCCAACCTCGATGTGCCCATTGGCCGCTGCTATGTGCAAAGCAGAGTGGCGATCATACACTGTGGTGCCTCGAACAAGACTTGGGTCTCTTTGCAACACCGCTTCCACCATTTCCACATCGCCGCCCTGCACGGCGGTAAACAACCCCTGTTCTTCTCTGTGTCTGCAACTCAGTTCCTGACCCATTGTTCTAATGTATAGCAGGCGAGGTGGTTGTTTTGGCGAGGGAATCTACCACCGTGCACCGCCTTGAGCGGTGGCGTTCTGGGTTATGGGAGAGATGGCGGAATGTCAAGGCGCAAGACTGTATATATATACATAGACGTCTGTGTTATTGTAGCAGCTGACCGTGAAATGGGGAGAGAGGGAGCGGGCAGGCAGACAGTCATCCAAGCGGATACTGCAGAAGACAACGGGCAGCAGCCATATGTTTCTCGGGCAGTCGTTTGCCATAAATAATCCTCAAAACGCCAATCTTTACGGATTGGTCTTCTGTCCAAAACCGTGTTTCCATTTCAACCTTACATAGTACAAATTCTTACCTCCCCAGGTCCAAAGTTCAAACTCATATGTAAATACTCTAATTCTTTTTAGGCATCAGATACAGATTACATAATCATGTCAGGTCAAAGTATAAGAATACTAAGAACGAGAAATTTTGTATTTTTAGAGTGGGGTGATCAACTTATTTGAAAGCGCTGTTCCCGAATAAAATTGATGTCTTAAGGGTTTAAAGCAGGAGGAAGTTAACCACCAATGACAACAAATGGGGAAGAGGTAAAGTTTTTCTTAATCGGGCAAAGCTGACTCTGAATAGCTTTGACAGTTTGGTGGTTGTGCAGCGGTCCTTTTTAGGTTGTGGCCTTTGCCACGGCCTGGCTTCACCTTAGAAGCCTTATCCACTTTGCATGCAATACATCACAAAAGACTTGTGCATTAAAGGATCACAAGGAAATGTATGATCGGCTTAAATCAATAAAGTTAATAAACATCTTTTATTCAAAGTTAATATTGAAACTCTGTAATTATCAAATCAATTATTTAACTAACTTGTCTTATACATCAATCTTTGTATAGTTTTGTCAGTGTTGACCCAATTCAATTTTGTCAATTACTCAATGCTAAATTTTTTAATGCTCGAAAGAGTTAATATACTTTTGGGGTTGTATCACTTTGATTCTTTGAAACTCAAATAAAGTTCAAGCAAGTACATCAATCTATGAGATTGGTTCAGGATGTTAAAATTCATTTGGAGAATGAAATCAAAGTAACTTCCTTGGCTATTATGATTCTCTTTGACCACTTTATTTAAGAGTGCCCTCTGTATCACGGGTGGATCCAGAGGGAGTAGTGGGGACAGTTGCCCCTTCTTCTCCCACCCCATCCCTATATATATGTGTGTGTGCGCGCGCCCGCTGAATCATATGAGAACAAGTTCGTAGGAGAAAACTAAGAACTAATCACAATCTTACATCTGGAAATTTTGAACGCAACAGATCAGATTTAAAAAAAAAACACGGTGACAGATTCGTAATTATCACTGACTTTACTATGCAAATACTATGTCACATTTAGTATTAACGTTTTGCACATTTAGTGTTAACATTTTGCATATTTTGTATTAAAAGTTTGCACTTACAAAAATGCGAAGAACATTGCAAAGGTTTCGAAACCATTAAGCTGCATTAATTTGTACTTGGATGTGCGTGCCATATATTTTTAATGTGCGTAAGTTTGCCTATTAAAAATGTTGACAACGAATAGACCAGTCACTTATCCACACAACTAACACTAATACTTTAAGTGGTGTCACAACAGTCTTAATGTGCGTTGATATTCTTTATTACGTGCGAGTAATTACAGTAAAACGTGTGTGAACTCAATTCTTAATGTGCGTTAATTTGCGTACTAAATAACTTGTTGCAAAAAGAAAAGAAAAAACTCAAAAACTCAAGTGTGCGTCGATATACACTTAACGTGCGTGTTATTAATACTTCAAGTGCCTGAAATTAAGTCTTAGGATGCGTGAGTTTGTTTATTAATAACAAATTTTTTTTTAAAAAAATACAAATTCCAAACAATTAACTGCGTCAATTTGTACTTGGATGTGCGTGCCATATATTTTTAATGTGCGTTAGTTTGCCTATTACAAATGCTTACAACGAATAGACCTGTCACTTATCCACACAACTAACACTAATACTTTAAGTGGGGTGTCACAGTAGTCTTAATGTGCGTTGATATTCTTTATTACGTGCGAGTAATTAGAGTACAACGTGCGTTAACTCAATTCTTAATGTGTGTTGATTTGTATAAATTACATTTAACCTAGGTTTCCACTGCAATTCAAGTCTTATTGTGGGTCCATGTACTTATCACGGTGCGCGTAGTTAGGGTTTATGATGCGTTAATCTGCGCATCAAAAGACTTATAACTACAAGAAAAAAACTTTGGGTTCATAATAACAATTAAGAAGAGTCAATTTACTCTCAATGAGCGTCTATATACTAATTAATTGGATTGCGCGTACTGGGAAATTTGCTTGCAAGTAGTCATGGAAAAAGCATTGAAAAACAAAGACAATGGCGACAACAACGCGAAACGGACGAGAGAGAACGGAAAACTGAGCGGGGAACATTTTTTTTTTTTTTTTTTTAATAATTTACCCCTCAGTGCGCGAAATTGAATTAAAATCACCGAACTTCACTATTTAAGATCAACGGTGAGATATTTAGATGATTATAAACCAAAGGCGCACATAAAATCGCACAACCGCACCTAACAATGCCAACTGCACCAGAACCGTTTTCTATATATATATATATATATATATATATATATATATATATATATATATATATATATATATATATATATATATATATATATAGGGAAGGGCTCCCGTGCATTTACTCCTTCCCGTAAATAATGAGGTTAAATATGAGCCCCACGTAGCTCTTGATCGGACGAATCAGATTAATAGCAAAAATTAAGCGCGAATTGCTCATTAAGGGCATTTTTGTCCTTTTGATTATATTAAAAAAAAATAAAAAATCTGTTCTTCTTCTTTGAGCGTTTTCAAAATTCACCATTGATTCCTAATCTTCTATATTTCCTAATCTCAGACGAATTTATGATATCTACGGAATTGGCAATAAGATCTATTCTCTTCGTCATTCAATATCATATTCGTCAAAATAAATCCTAAACCCATCAAAAACGTCACCCAAAGAACAATGGAAGAATTCGATCGAGGTATTACCCAAATTCTGTCACTTTTCTGGAATTAATTTTATCTGCATTTGTATTGGCATCATTCTTGTATTAATTACACGCACATTAAGCATGCAACTTAACCACCGAATTACTGAGCTACTTTAATTAATCCGAGCCTAGAACCTTACGCACGTAGATGATTAGGTAGCCGCATGATAATTTTTAAAAATGCACATATTACTGTTTGCCTCACACATGTTATACGTTGATCACACGCACATTAATTCCTCTCCAAACGCATGTTATATCACTGGACTCTCTGACGCACGTTAAGTAATGACATAATATTTTAACAAACACTCACGCATGTTAATTGTTACACATGCGCACATTAACTATTACCCTGAAGCACATTAATTTCTCACTTGCCGCACATACTCTAGTATTTTATAAATCTTCCATATTGACAATGATCTGATTAACTTAACGCATATTAAGTGTTCACATTACGCACGTAGAGGCTTGCAACAACATGATCATAACTTCATGCTTATATGTTACAGTTCCAATTGACATTCAATCTACCAATAACCCCAGTTTGAGTCCCTGCAGCAGCAACAATGGTCATACATTGACCATATCTCCTGGAATGACACAGTATTGGACTCCTCACTGTGAGGATGAAATCAAACCAGCAGTAGACATGATTTTTAAAACATGGGATGCTGGTATTGAATTCTACAAACATTATGCTGCCAAAGTCGGGTTTGACACAAGGTCTAGTTCCGTCGTTACAGCACGTGACGGGACAAAAATTCAAAAGCAAATCGTTTGCAACAGAGAAGGATTTAAGAATACAGGAGCTCAACATTGTCCCTCGCAGTCAAGTGCAGATGCAGGAGAAGGTCCTTCCCGTCCAAAGCGGCGAAGGGTTTCAAACAGAACTGGTTGCAGAGCTAGGATTATGTTTAAGTACATTGGAGCAGCTGGGTACCAAATTACCACTTTTATTGAAAAACATAATCACAACATGTCTTCGGTTCTGGCAAGGCAGTTTCTAAAAGGAAATAGAAACATCTCTAGTGTTCACCAGAAGTTTATACTCGACTGCGCTAAAGCAAATATTGGAGCATCAAAATCACACGGTTTATACAGTAATATTGTGGGGGATTACTCTGAAGTTGGAGCAACTGTAGTGGACTTTAAAAATGTCAGAAGGGATCTCAGAGCATACATATTGGGAGCTGATGCACAAATACTGGTGCATAATCTTATTAAGAAACAAGAGATGTGCCCTGCATTTGCTTTTGACTACGAGGTTGATGAAGATGAGCAGACTGTTTTGGGCAGATCCAATGTCAAAAAAGAATTTTGCTGCATTTGGAGATGTTGTCTCTTTTGATGCCACGTACTCAACAAACAGGTATATACTATTCTATTCACATTCTTGCGTACGTTTCATTAATTAATACACATTTAGCATTGCCTGATCTGTTGAGACATGTTAAGATATAGACACGTTCACTGTTTTATTGAAAAAGAATTGAAATACAAATGTGGAATTTCCAGAATTAGACCTCAATTACATACATGTGCTATTTTAATACTTACTGTGCGTTACTATAATTCTCTAAGTGCGGCAGTTTGACACCTGCATACTGTGATGACGCTTTTTGTCTTGTAGGTACGATCTGGTTTTTACTCCCTTCACCGGAGTTGATAACCATAAAAAATGTATAACATTCGGTGCTGGACTACTGTTGAAAGAAGACATTGAGTCTTATGTTTGGCTCTTTGAAAAATTTAAAAAGGCAATGGGTATGGAACCAAGAATAATTGTCACCGATCAAGATCCAGCTATGAAAGTGGCGATTCCAACAGTTTTCAAGGAAGCCAGGCATCGTTATTGCATGTGGCACATAAGGTGTAAAGTTGGGGAAAAGGTGGTTCCTACGTTGAACAAGGATGAGGAATTCAGGAACAAACTGAACTCAATCGTTTGGACGTCATCTTTGGAACCTCCTGATTTTGAGAAGCAGTGGAGAGAGCTCATGGAAAAGTACAACTTAGTCGAACATAACTGATTTAAAACTATGTTTGAGGCTAGAAAGCATTGGATCCCAGCGTATTTTAGAGATGTCTTTATGGGAGGACTACTCAGGACAACTTCTCGTTCCGAAAGTGAGAACTACACGTATAGCCGTTTTACTGGTCCCCAATCAAGCCTAGTTGAATTCATGATGAACTTTGACACTGCTCTTAAATCACAACGTAACACAAATGCAAAGCTCAACAGTGACAACAAAGGGTACAATCCAGATATGAAGACGCCTCTGGGGATTGAAAAGCACGCTTCAATCGTCTACACCATTACTATTTTCTATCAAGTTCAGGAAGAAATATGTGCCTCCTGTTTCAAATGTATGGTGTTGAGTGTTAGAGAAGACGGTGGAATGTTGCACTATGATATTATGGATGGAAAGAACAAAAGATTTACTGTGGTGCACAATGTAAATGACCATGAGGCCAAATGCAGTTGCAAGATGTTTGAGATGGTTGGACTGTTATGTAGACACATATTTGTGGTCTTTAGAGACCTTGAAAGGATCCCTCTGAAGTACGTGGTTAATCGGTGCACTAAGGATGCATCTTTAAAAGCTACATTTGAAATAGATGGTGTCATTTATGATCAGAACGAACCAAAGGATGAAAAGAAGATGTTGCTGAACAAAGTGTGGTCTGATATACACTGCTGTATGGATATGGCAGGTTCAAACATGGAGCAATTGACTGCATTTTCCCAAGTTATTAATGAACAGAAACAACTGCTACTGTCAGGAAAGGAGAAATTGTCCCCTCAGCAAAGCAGGAGAACTGTTATAGAATCATATTGTGGATCAACAGAAATTTCAGAGATCAACATACTTCCACCGAAACAGGCAAGGAACAAGGGCAGCGGCAAGCGCATCAAAAGCAGTAAGGAGTTGGCAATGGAAAAACAAGAGGGTAGGAAGTGCAATTTTTGTGGTGTTAGAGGAGATCACCATGACACCAGGACTTGCCCACTTAACCCCAAAAATAAGGACAAGCAAAAGGGTATGAAAAAGGCATAGCAGACTATTTTTTCAACGCTTTTACAGTCAAGAACGAAAATGGATAGCAAATATGAAACACAACTACTTAGTTAACTCATTTCAGAACGCGTTTTACAGTTGAGATACTTGTTTTTGTTTTTACACAATCACTGCTACTAGCTTAATGTGCGTGTTATTACTACTTTACCTGCGTGCAGTTAATTCTTAATATGTGTTGATTACACTTTTAACGTGCGTTACATTAAACCTTAATGTGCGTAGTACAGAAACAGAATGTGCGTTGATTTATGTATAAAAACTTTGGTCCGTGGTAAACGTCTTTACATGCAGCGATTAACATTCAACTTGCGCGACATTAAAGCTTAATATGCGTACAAAGACAACATTTAACACTTTCTTTCCTTAATATGCGTTTAATTATTAGTTAATATACGATGCGTTAAAGATAATTCTAATATACGATGAAATAATTTGCTGACAAAATGATACAAGAACAACATGCGTGTAAATATAAATATAATTAATTTGCATCGAAATAAATGATTTTTTAAAGCCAAAATTTTAATGTGCGTCGTGAAACCAATTAAAGTGCGCGAAATATCAATCTAATATGCGATTATTATATATTATTAATAAATCCAAAAGTTTAATGTGCCTCGGGAAACCAATTAAGGTGCGCAAAATATAATTATAAGATGCGTTTATTATATTTTATTAATAAATACAAAAGTTTAATGTGCGTCGCGAAACCAATTAAAGTGCGCGAAATATCATTCTAAGATGCGTTTATTATATTTTATTAAAAAAAAAAGCAAGTAGAATATGCGTTAATGATAACATAATAGACATAAAAGGATAATATATAAATTTTATTAATTAATAAATTGTATGACGAAAATAACAACAAGTAGTCACATAATACGCATAAAAATCTTGATATTTTCGTCAATATTCATCCTTATCACGCAGCCTCCTCATTGATTACATCCTCATTAGCCAAGTTTCCAACAGGAGCGTCAGGCACCTGTTCATCCATCAAATCATGAAAGTTACTAAACTGTAAATACATCAATAAAATTATATAATAAAAAAAAAAGAGGGAAAAACAATGTAAGTATGCAGTAGATCACCTCTTGATCGAAATCATAATCTTCTCGATCATAAGCATATGTTTGGAACTCAGCATCATCTTTCAGTAATACTGCACCAGTTCTCTCACAGAACATCAGCATATACCAGAGACTAGAGGTCTTGTTTCTGTAGATACTATAGGCCACCTCAAATCTAATGAGTAGATAAGCTTTTCCTTCCACAAATCTGTTGACGCGCCTTTGCGCAAACGGTTGTGGAATGTGCATATGAATAAACTTCCCCTGAAATTATTTAAAAACAAAAAAAAAAACACAAAAAACATATGCATCAACAGTATATTTTATGAATATAAAATATTACTCCGTAAGATTTATATTACACTAAACAAAAATAATACCTCTACATTGTGAAGTACACACTCTATAGATCGGATTCTATCAGAACATTTAGTTTCTGGCAAACGAACAACTCGTAGCACTCGAACCCTAATTAAATTCCAGCGCAGTCCTATGCGGAGTTGGTTTCCAACTATTTCGGTGTGGGGTTCGGCTGCCATTGAAACTCTCTTTACAAGGTAGAGTAGAAAAGCAAAAATGTGTTTGAAGGAGACAGGTTTGGGTCGAGAATAATGGTGGATTTAAATAACAAACTCTTAAACGAATGCGACTGTTCGTATGTGACAACTTTAAGTCTAGCAGAACGCGACTGTTGATATGAAAATGTTCGATCGGGTATAATTGAACGAAAATGCGTCAATTTATTCACTAATATGCGCACCTTAAACACGTTATTATGCGTATTATTGCTACTTTACCTGCGTAAAGTTAATTCTTAATATGCGTTTATTACACTTTTAAAATGCGCTACATTAAGCCTTAATATGCGTAATACAGAAACAGAATGTGCGTTGGTTTATGTATATAAACTTTGGTCCGTGGTAAATGCCAACGTCTTTAAATGCGTCGATTAACATTTAACTTTCGCGACTTTAAAGGTTAATATGCGTACAAATGCAATATTTAACACTTTCTTTGCCTAATATGCGTTTAATTATCAGTTAATATAATGTGCGTTAAAGATAAGTATAATATGCGCGACTGCAAAACTTAAAGTGCGTTCGTTGAATTATGAAATAATTTGCAGACAAAATGATACATATATAAACGATTGCACATATTTATTTCTTCTAGTACTTTGAAGATCTTCTGGTTCCGGCAGCATCCGACACATCACCAGCCACCCACAATTGCTCAACTCTCAGCCTTCGGATGTTATTTGGAAACTAGACGATGAGCTTGAAGAAGAGAATGACGAATGATGCTTCAGGTTTAGAATGTGTTGTTTTTGTATTTAGTTAAAGTCACTGCAAACTGGAGGGCGATGAATATGAAAATGCCAGAGCAGATGAATAATAAATGAAGAGGATTCTTCTCTACTTGCGAAAAAGTGAGAGATAGCCATTTCAATAACCTGATGCTCAGTTGTGTGTTGTTCCTTGTAATAATTTATATATAGGTGAATAACTTGGTCACATGCACTGATTTGAGATTTCAATGTTTCAAGATTTGCTTTAATGGGTGCGTTTTTTAAGGCATTGAAAGACCATTCAATGTTATCTGTTTCCCCCACCAACTACAAATGCCTTAAAGTTCTGACATCAAATATCTTTGAATGTTACGTGGATTGGTATAAAAGACTTAATATGCGTTGCTTTGATCTATTATATGCGCGACCTACAAGAACAACATGCGTGTAAATATAAATTTAATCAATTTGCATCGAAAATAAATGATTTTTAGAGTCAAAAGTTTAATGTGCGTAGGGAAACCAATTAATGTGCGGGAAATATCAGTCTAATATGCGTGTATTATATTTTATTAAACAAAAAACAAGTACGGAGTAAAATATAATAAAAACTTCAAGTCTTTACAGGGGATCGATCTTAGGCGGAATCATTTTAATTTTAATCAAAGATTTCTACCATTTCGCCAGTGGGCTCATCCATTAATTTGATTATAATATATTATTAATAACAACAACAGAGGCAGACATGAGAGCTTGTTTTTAATATGCGTAAGGCGTAGACATAATGTGCGTTGGTTTTTTTTTATAAAATCTTTGGTCCGTCGTAAACACCAAAGTCTTTAGATGCGTTGATTACCGGCCAAAAATATTTTGAGTCTTTGGGGGGGGGGGGGGGGGGGGGGGGGGGGGGGGGGGGGGGGGGAGGGGATTGGATCCTAGGCGGATTTGATATATTCAAAGACTTCTACCATTTCGCCAGTTGGCTCATCCATTTATTCCTTGTATACCAAAATATATGTTGCCTACTTACTAATAACGAATCTAAAAGGAAGGAATATGCCTCTATTTAATTCTTAATATGCGTTGGTTTACACTTTAAAGGTGCACTACACTGCGGCTTATATATGCGTAATACGTAAACGTAATGTGCGTTGGTTTATGTATAAAAACGTAATTATTCAGACATTGCGTTGAAAATTAGTCCAGAATGCGCGATTGCAAAATTTAAAGTGCGTTTGTTTGATTGTGAAATAATTTGCATTTAAAATGACAAATACATGCTTTGAATTTAACATGCGCGACATATCAATTTAAAATGCGTGACATTGGAACACAATGAGCGTTGGTTTCTATATTAATAAAAATAATAATTTACAGTCTAGTACATTAGTATTTGTAAACGTAAATACACATTGAAACAACACCAATAACATTCAGTGCATCTTTTCTAGTGCTTTGAAGGCATTTCTTCTAGTTCTGGCATCATCCGACATGCTGCCAGCCTCCCACAAGCCTTGACAACCTCGATTTGGACATGAGCAAGGAGTGTGGATGCATGTAGGCTCGTGGTCTCTAAGCTTGCTGTGTATGATAGATTCCTGGCAGCCGTAGGTGTTATTTGGGATGTCGGATGTCCTCAACTCTCTCAGCCTTGAATGATGTTTGGTTGCAGCATGAGGAGCTTGCAGCTGAGGATGACGAGTTTTCTCTCAGGTTTAGAATGTGTTGTCTTTGTATTTCTTTACAAGCACTACAATCTGGAGGGCGAGGGGGGTGAAGAGGGCATGCAAGATGAGGAATAAAAGGAGATTGTTCTTCTGAACGTGCAGAGACGTGAGAGGTGACCATTTCAATGAAAACTGATGCTCGGTTGTGTGTTGTTCTTTCCAATTTATAGGCGAATAACTTGGTCCAATGAACTGATTTGAAGATTTCAATGTTGCGTTAATGGGGGCGTTTTTTAAGGCATTGAATAACCGTTCAATGTTATCCGTCTCCCCAACTACCAATGCCTTAAAATTCTGACATAAATTATCTTCGAATATTACGTGGATTGTTATAAAACACTTAATGTGCTTTGCTTTGCTCTGTTACATGCGCGGAGGACAGATACAATATGCGTTCAAATATACATTTAATTAACTTTTATCGAAAAACGATATTTTTTGAACCCAAAAGTTTAGAGTGCGTGGGGAAACCAATTTAAGAGCACGAAATATCACTTTAACATGCGTTTATTGTATTTTGTTAAACGAAAAACAAATAAAATATAATAAAAAAATCAAGCCATTTTAATGGGCACGTTTTTTAAGGCATTGAATAACCCTTCAATGTTATCCGTCTCCCCAACTACCAATGCCTTAAAGTTCTGACATCAAATATCTTCGAATATTAAGTGGATTGTTATAAAACACTTAATGTGCTTTGCTTTGCTCTGTTACATGCGCGGAGGACAAGAACAATATGCGTTCAAATATACGTTAATTAACTTTTATCGAAAAACGATATTTTTTGAACACAAAAGTTTAGAGTGCGTGGGGAAACCAATTTAAGAGCGCGAAATATCACTTTAACATGCGTTTATTGTATTTTGTTAAACCAAAAACAAATAAAATATAATA